AGGAGTTAGAAGTTAGAAATTAGGGGTTAGGTGTCAGGATTTAGGAGTTAGGGATTAGGATTTAGGGGTTAGGAGTCAGGAGTTAGTGGTTAGGAATTAGGGATTAGGGTTTAGGAGTCAGGAGTCAGTAGTCAGTAGTTAGGAGTCGGGAATTAGAGGTTAGGAGTCCAGAGGTAGGGGTTAGGGGTTAGGAGTGAGGAATAAGGGTTAGGGGTCAGAAGTAAGGGGTCAGAGATTAGGAGTAACGGGTTAGGAGTTAGGAGTCAGAAGTTAGTGGTTAGTGGTTAGTGGTTAGGGGTTAGGGGTTAGGGTTTAGGGTTTAGGAGTCAGGTTTTAGGAGTTCGGAGTTAGGATTTAGGAGTTAGAAGTCAGAATAAGGTTAGGGTTGGTTGCTCAGTGTGTCCATCAAAACAAATTCTAATTTTGTTATCCCAGTCGCAAAAACTGTTGTTGTGTCCTTAGGCTTAGATACACCTCGATACACAGGCCACGATACGATATACATCTCGATACAGTGCACGTTCAGTTTGATATGATATATTTCAAATCGATTCGATAATGTTCAATAAAAAATAATTTCTAAATCATGTCTGTGATACTAAAAGTCTTTGTTAAACCACTTTTTGTGCAAAGTTCATATGAAACACAAATATTTTAATCATCAAAACTGTGAAAATGTCAAATGTGTCACGTAAACGACTTTCCTTCCTCTAAACCAACAACAAAACTGTAGCACAAAATTATTTAGTAAAATGCAGCAAAAAAGTACTCTTAGCGATATATCGATACAGCAGCCCACGATAACAATACTGTATCATCACATTAAACAATACGATATGTTAATATTTTGATATTTTTTGTAGACTCCTAATTATTATTATATAGTCCAGGTGTAGACTTCAATATCTGCAGGAAATACTGCTACTGTGTACTCTTTAAGTACACGTTAAACATGTACTTTAATACTTTAACATAAGTAGATTTTTTCATATGCTGCTTTTACTTTTACGTGACTAGTTTTTTGCTCCAGTATTTGTACTTTTGAGTACTTCTTCTTTTATTACTGTAGCACATGTAGCATATTTATTAAAAATAATTCAAGAAAATAGGTTTAAAGTGAAAAACATGGAACTATTTGCAGTGTTTCAGAATATGTCTTTCAAGGGGGTGTGCAAAAATATTCAAATATCGATAGTATTGATATTTGTATCGTATCGATCAATATCGATCGTATTGTTAAATGTGATGATACTGTATTGATATCGTGGGCTGCTGTATTGATATATCACCAAGACTATTTTTTGGTATATTTTACTAAATTATTCTGTTCCAGCTACAGTTTTGTTACTTGTTTAGCGGAAGAAAATTTGTCTATGCAACAAATTTGACATTTTCACAGTTTTGATGATTAAAATATGTGTGTTTTATATTCACGTTGCACAAGAAGAGGTTTAACAAAAAATGTTTGTATCACAGCCATGATTATTTTTTATTGAATAAATTTGAAATATATCGTATCAAACTGAAAGTGTACTGTATCAAAGTATGTATCGTATCGTGGCCTGTGTATCGAGGTGTTTATTGTATCGGTAACTTCTTAATGATACTGAGCTCTAATCCCAATACAAACACGTGACGTCTTACAAGACTTCAACATCTGCACGAAATACTTTTACTTTGTACTTTTTAAGTACATTTTAAACAGGTACTTTAATACTTATACAAGTATAAGTAGCTTATTTCATATGATACTTTTACCTTTATGTGAGTTTTATTTATTTTTTTGCTCAAATATTTGTACTTTTGAGTACTTCTTTTATTACTGTACCACATGTAGCATATTTTTTAAAAAAAACAATTAAAGAAAATAAGTTCAAAGTGAAAACTATTTGTAATGTTTTAGAATATGACTTACATGTGGGTGTGCAAAAATATTGAAATATTGATATACTGTATTGTTAAATGTGATTTTTAAAAATATATTTTACTAAATTATTTTGTTACAGTGCTACAGTTTTGTTTCTTGTTCAGTGGAAGAAAATGTGTTTATGCAACACATTTGGCAATTTCACAGTTTTGATGATTAAACTGGGTGTGTTTCATATTCACGTTGCACCTGAAGCGGTTTACCAAAAACTTTTAGTATCACAGCCATGATATTGGCTTTATTTTTTATTGAACCGTATCAAATTGATTTGAAATATATCTTATCGAACCGAAAGTGTACTGTATCGAAGTATGTATCGTATCGTGGCCGATGTATCGAGATATGTATCGTATCGGTAACTTCTTAATGATACTCAGCCCTAATCACAATACAAACATGTGAAGCTTTACAAGACTTCAATATCTGCAAGAAATACTTTTACTTTGTACTCTTTAAGTGTATTTTAATCATATACTTTAATACTTATACATAAGTGTTGTTTTTTCTTTTGCTTTTTGGAGATTATATTTGTGGTGAGCAATGTAAAATAATTGTCTTTATGTATCTGTTGATTACTGCATAATAACGCAATTTATCTTTTACCATATGATAATGCAATTTATTATTTATGGAAACATCCGAATAAACTTATCATCATCATCATCATCATCATCATCATCATCATAATCATCATCATCATCATAATCATCTTGGAGGATTTCATAAGATACTTTTACTTTTACGTGAGTAGTTTTTTGCTCCAGTACCGGTACTTTTGAGTACTACTTCTTTTACCACTGGACATTTAACATATATTTTTTTAAACAACTGAAGAATATCTACAGTGTTTTAGAATATGTCTTTCATGTGAGTGTGCAAAAACAGTATCGATATCATAGGCTGCTGTATCAATATATTGTCAAGAGTATTTTTTTTGTATATTTTACTAAATTATTTTGTTACAGTGCTACAGTTTTGTTGCTTGTTCAGTGGAAGAAAATGTGTTTATGCAACACATTTGGCAATTTCACAGTTTAGATGATTAAACTGGGTGTGTTTCATATTCACGTTGCACCTGCAGCGGTTTACCAAAAACCTTTAATATCACAGTCATGATTTAGCCTTTATTTTTTATTGAACCATATCGAATAAAACCAAAAGTGCACTGTATTGATATATGTATCGTATCAGAAACTTCTTAATGATACTCAGCCCTAATCACAATACAAACACGTGAAGTCTTACAAGACTTCAACATCTGCATGAAATACTTTTACTTTTTAAGTACATTTTAAACAGGTACGTTAATACTTTTACATAAGTAGCTTATTTCATATGATACTTTTATTTTTACACAACTAGTTTTGTTGCTTCAGTATCTGCACTTTCGAGTACTTCTTCTTTTACCACTGCACCAAGTGTAGCTTTTTTTTTTTTAATTTTTTAAACAATTCAAGAAAATAAGTTCAAAGTGAAAAACATGGAACTATTTGCAATGTTGTAGAATATGTCTTTCAGAGGGGTGTGCAAAAATATTCAAATATCGATATATATCGTATCGTTTAATGTGATGATAAGAATATTTTTTGGTATATTTTACTGAATTATTTTGTTACAGCTACAGTTCTGTTGCTTGTTTCGTGGAACAAAATTTGTTTAAGCAACACATTTAACGTTTTCACTTTTACATAAGTAGAAAAAAAAAAAAACAATTCAAGAAAATAAGTTCACGCTGAAAAACCTTGGAACTATTTGCAATGTTGTAGAATATAGTCTTTTATACGGGTTTGCAAAAATATTCAAATACTGATATATTGTATTGTTTAATGTGATGACAAGACTATTTTTTGGTATATTTTAAGAACTTATTTTGTTACAGCTACAGTTTTGTTACTTGTTCAGTGGAAGAAAATTTGTTTATGCAGCACATTTGACACTTTCACTGTTTTGATGATTAAAATGGGCGTGTTTCATATTGACATTGCACAAGAAGAGGTTTAACAAAAAGTTTTAGTATCACTGCCATGACTTTGCCATTATTTTTTAATGAACCGTACCAAATCGAATTGAAAGTGCACTGTATCGAGGTATGTATCGCACTTCTTAATGATACTCAGCCCTAATCACAATACAAACATGTGAAGTCTTACAAGACTTCAATATCTGCAAGAAATACTCTTACTTCATACTTTTTAAGTACATTTTACACAGATACTTCAATACTTTTACATAACTAGATTATTTCATATGATACTTTTACCTTTACGTGAGTATTTACTGTACCACACGTAGCAATTTAAAAAAAAAACAATTCAAGAAAATAAGTTCTAAGTGAAAAACATGGAACTGTTTAAAATGTTTCAGAATATGTCTTTCATGTGGGTGTGCAAAAATACTGAAATATCAATATATCATATTGTTTAATGTGATGAGTATTTTTTAGTATATTTTACTAAATTATTTTGTTATAGTGCTACAGTTCTGTTACTTGTTCAGTGGAAACATTTGACACTTTCACTGTTTTGATGATTAAAATGGGTGTGTTTCATATTCACATTGCACAAGAAGAGGTTTAACAAAAACTTTTCAGTATCAGAGCCATGATTTTGCCTTCATTTTTTTATTGAACCGTATCGAATCAAACCGAAAGTGCACTGTATATGTATATATGTATCGTATCGTGGCCTATGTATCAAGGTATCGGTAACTTCTGAATAATACCCAGCCCTAATGCTTCAGTTGTATGTCACAAGAGGAATAGAATGTGCAGAAAATGTTTGAGCAATAATCCCATAAATTACATTAAAGTAAATCGTGAGCGGTGTGCATGCACGTGAAAAGCACTGCCTCGTTATTATCGCTAAAAATCCGTTTCGTGTTTAAAAAGTTGCTCTTAATAAGTTATAATTGTGAATCTTGCAGATGTAATGGTGGGCTATGCAGATATGTCCTGGTTTATTGTGCTTTCTTTGCCAAAAAACCAAGCCGTGTCCGCGTAACAAAAGCCGGAGCCTGGCCCGGCCCCTGCAGCTGTCCCATTGCGGCACCGGAGGCCCAGGTAAGCGGCACTCACCTGCGGCGGGGGGCGGGGGGAAGAGGGCTCTTGTTCGGCTGCTGTGGCGGTGTGTCCCGGGTCTACTGTCGGAGCATCGCCAGCGGGACGGGCCCAGAGGTGTAGTCCGTGTGACAGCGCTCCTCTCCGGCTCGGGACGCTTCAGGACACCGTGGGGGCTTCGGCGGCGCGGCTGCGGAGCGACATGCCGGTGACGGGGCCTCGGTGGCGGCTTCGGGCTCGGTTCGGGAGTCGGTGTCCCGTCGGTTCACACGGCAGCAGCAGGGCCCAGACTGCAGGAAGCGAGCAGGAAGGGAGGAAACGCCGCGGCATCATGGGAAATGGAGTTCGGAGCGGTTAGAGCGCAAGACACAGGGCGGAGACTAAGACTACGTTACCCACAATGCAACACGGAGCAGCGGAGCATCTTGGCTTTTGGAGTTTGGCGGTTTTTACTCCTTTCACTCCGTGGATCTATAAAAAAATAAATAAAATAAAATATAATAATAATAATAATAATAATAATAATAATAATAATTTGGTTCCATCCCAAAAAAAGCTTCTACACAAATTAAATATTACTTTACTTTTTGTCATCTAAATAAATTAAGGCGATCTAAATGTTCAAATAAAAAGTTCTAAATATGTGTTTTGTTTTTTGTTTTTTTTAAGACTTCATAATGGTTTTGTCATAGCTAGTATGACTAGATTTTCAAAATAAAAAACTGGAACATCTCTGGTTTGTGATTATTTATTTATTTAATTGTATTTTTAAAATGTATATTATTATTATTTTAATTTTTTATTTTATTTTTTTATTTTTTTTAATTAAGGATAACAGTACATACATACAACATAAAAAAAATACAACGATCAACATTTAACAATTACAATAATCAGCATAAAACAAAAGACAAAAACATAAAGCAACACCCATAACAAATACAAAACAACAACAACAACAACAACAACAAAAAGCACCCATTTCCCCCCGACCACACACACTAACACAAATCTGGCCAAATTAAACAAAAGTAATGGTCGTGCAATATAAACACATTACTTTTACCTTTAGCTAAATAGACTTAGACTTAGACTTAAACAAACTTTATTGATCCACAAGGGAAATTACAGTATTTGGACACAGGAGCTCAAACATCATAATATAATATAATAACAAAGAGTAAAACATATAAATGGTAATAATAAATTCGAAATAAGTAGAAAAAAGAGGAAGAGACAAGTGTCAAATAAAACATAATTATATACCGTATTTTCCGCACTATAGGGAGCAATTAAAAGCCTCTAATTTCATCAAAAAACGAGTGCGCGCCTTATAATCCAGAACGCCTTATATATGAATTTATTGGGGTGTCTTTGTACGACTTTAGTAAACTACAAAGCCGCACCACTTGCAGCATTACAGCTCCCGTAGTCAGGAGCATCCGGAGTAATACATACTGTGATTCCTTTTAATATCAAAATGCACCTGTCAAGAGACACGCTCACAACGCTGACTTTAAACTCAAGACTGTTATAACAGGGTATCCCTCAGGTTTAACTAACATAATTTAAGACTTTTTAAGACCTTTTTAAGACCATTTGAATGAAAATTAAGACCAACATTCGAATGATGAATCTAATGAAATTCAAGACCTTTGTGAAAAAAATAAGACTTGGACAACAGAATTTAAGACTTTTTAAGGCCTTAATTTAGGAACATGACTTTAAGACCTTTTTAAGACTTTTAAGACCCTGCGGCTGCCCTGTATAAAGTGAAAATGCGAGCATCGTGGGAGCAGTGAGCCTTATAATCCGGTGCGGTTTATATGTGAAAAAAGTTCGAAAATAGACCATTCAATAATCCAGTGCGCCTAATAGTGCAGAAAATACGGTAAATGTAAATGTAAAAGTCAAAATAAAATAGAAAAATAAGTAGTAAAATATAAACTCTCAGCTTTATACAAGAGGTCATAAGGAAAACAGTGCAAAAAAATGAAATGATGATTGACAGGACACAATGTTATCTGTTGCATAAGGATGAGTTGCACAGTTGTAGGGAGTATTATCCGTTACACAAAGGTGAGTTGTTGTTATTTGTCAGTTAAACGAGCGCAAACTTAACAGACAGGTTTGGGCGGATGCGGTCATATTTTTACTATGTCATATATCAACGGCTTTTACTTTCTACAACCGGGAGATTGATTTTATTCCTTATTTATTTTTATACAATTTTTAAAATGTATTTATTATAATTTATTGGATTGTTTGCGTCATTGTCTGTTTTGTATGTCTTCTGTTTGCTATTTTTATGCTTTTTGTATTGTTCTTTGCTGCTTGTACAGTACTTTATTATTACTATTATTATTATTATTATTATTTTTATTATTATTATTTATTATAGTCAAAAAGTGCAACAGTGGTGTGATGATTGACAGGACATAGCGTTATCTGTTACATAAAGGTGAGTTGTTGTACAGTTGTAGGGAGTATTATCTGTTACCTAAGGGTGAGTTGTTGTACAATTGTAGGAAGTATTATCTGTTACATAAAGGTGAGTTGTTGTACAGTTGTAGGGAGTATTATCTGTCACATAGGAGTGAGTTGTACAGTTGTAGGGAGTATTATCTGTCACATAAGGGCAAGATGTTGGACAGTTGTAGGGAGTATTATCTGTTACATAAAGGTGAGTTGTTGTACAGTTGTAGGGAGTATTATCTGTTACCTAAGGGTGAGTTGTTGCACAATTGTAGGGAGTATTATCTGTTACATAAAGGTGAGTTGTTGTACAGTTGTAGGGAGTATTATCTGTTACATAAGGTGAGTTGTTGTACAATTGTAGGGAGTATTATCTGTTACATAAAGGTGAGTTGTTGTACAGTTGTAGGGAGTATTATCTGTTACACATAGGAGTGTTGTTTGTACAGTTGTAGGGAGTAGTATTATCTGTTACATAAGGGCAAGATGTTGGACAGTTGTTGTTAGGGAGTATTATCTGTTACCTAAGGGTGAGTTGTTGTACAGTTGTAGGAAGTATTATCTGTTACCTAAGGGTGAGTTGTTGCACAATTGTAGGGAGTATTATTCGTTACATAAAGGTGAGTTGTTGCTGCTGCTGAAATACAAATACATATGTTATGCAACGGAGCAGAAACTGAACAGACCGGTTTGAGCAGATGCAGTTTGATTTTTGTTGTGTCATACCAACTCATAGTTCTTTGTTTTTTTTTTCCTACAAACGGAAAATCCATCTTTACCGACGACGTACGTTTCATCTCCTGTTTGGGGTCGGAGGTCACGTCGTGTTCACCCCGGCGTGACCCCAGACTTGGCCTCATTTTCGGAGGTAAACACGTCTCCGTCCGTGTCACCGTTCTCGTATAAAAGTCGTGTCGTCGGAGCGGTGTGGCAGATTTTTCCGGCCGTGTTCAGTGGAGGGCCGGAGCGATGGTGCGAGGGACCACGCTGCTGCTCATCGGCGCCTCGTGCTGGCTGCTGGGGGCACTGCGCTGCGAGGACGCCATGGAGGAGCGATCGGCCGCAGACGACGCACTCAAGGCACGAGAGGAGACGCAACTGGTGAGAGACGCGGGCTAAACGAGACCGAGACCAGGCCGGGACCACAGGAGACCAGAGACCAGGATAAGACGGAGACCACCGAGAGTCGAGACTGAGACAAGACCGAGACTTTTACAGGTTGAGACCGAGACGAGACCGAGACTTTTAAAGGTTGAGACCGAGACAAGACCGAGATCAGGCCGGGACCACAGGAGACCAGAGACCAGGATAAGACGGAGACCTGTGACAGTCGAGACTGAGACAAGACCGAGACTTTTAAAGGTTGAGACCGAGACACGACCGAGACGAGACCGAGACTTTTAAAGGTTGAGACCGAGACACGACCGAGTCGAGACTGAGACAAGACCGAGACTTTTACAGGTTGAGACCGAGACACGACCGAGACGAGACTGAGACAAGACCGAGACTTTTAAAGGTTGAGACCGAGACAAGACCGAGATCAGGCCGGGACCACAGGAGACCAGAGACCAGGATAAGATGGAGACCACCGAGAGTCGAGACTGAGACAAGACCGAGACTTTTAAAGGTTGAGACCGAGACGAGACCGAGACGAGACTGAGACAAGACCGAGACTTTTACAGGTTGAGACCGAGACGAGACCGAGATCAGGCCGAGACCACAGGAGACCAGAGACCAGGATAAGACCAAGACCTGTGAGAGTCGAGACTGAGACAAGGCCAAGACTTTTAAAGGTTGAGACCAAGACACGACCGAGACGAGACCGAGACGAGACCGAGACTTTTAAAGGTTGAGACCGAGACACGACCGAGACGAGACCGAGACTTTTAAAGGTTGAGACCGAGACACGAGACCGAGACGAGACCGAGACTTTTAAAGGTTGAGACCGAGACGAGACCGAGACGAGACCGAGACTTTTAAAGGTTGAGACCGAGACGACGACCGAGACGAGACCGAGACTTTTTAAAGGTTGAGACCGAGACACGACCGAGACGAGACCGAGACTTTTAAAGGTTGAGACCGAGACGAGACCGAGACGAGACCGAGACTTTTAAAGGTTGAGACCGAGACACGACCGAGACGAGACCGAGACTTTTAAAGGTTGAGATCGAGACGAGACCGAGACGAGATCGAGACGAGACCGAGACGAGACTTTTAAAGGTTGAGACCGAGACGAGACCGAGACCGAGACGAGACCGAGACGAGACCGAGTCTTTTAAAGGTTGAGACCGAGACAAGACCGAGACGAGACCGAGACGAGACCGAGACGAGACCGAGACGAGACCGAGACGAGACCGAGACAAGACTGAGTCTTTTAAAGGTTGAGACCGAGACAAGACCGAGACGAGACCGAGACGAGACCTAGACGAGACCGAGACGAGACCCAGAAGAGACGAGACGAGACCGAGACTTTTAAAGGTTGAGACTGAGACAAGACCGAGACGAGACGAGACGAGAAAACAAGACTGAGACAAGACCAAGACAAGACCAAGACTTTTAAAAGTTGAGACCGAGACGAGACCGAGACGAGACCGAGACTTTTAAAGGTTGAGACCGAGACAAGACCAAGACCTCTGAGGGTCGAGACTGAGACAAGACAGAGACTTTCAAAGGTCGAGACTGAAACAAGACCGAGACAAGTGCCTTCAAGACCGAAACAAGACCAAGACAAGCGCTTTCAAGACCAAGACCTCTGAGAGTCGAGACCGAGACAAGACCAAGACTTTTAAAGGTCTTTCCCTCTGCTCCACAGATCGAGGCTCTACAGGAAGTTCTGGAGAAGTTAAAAAGCAAACAGCTGCCGTCCACAGAGAAGAAACTGGGCTGGGTTCCCACGGTAACAACAACATCACTCAAACAAATCAACATTATTATATTTTACTCATAAACCGCCTTGTTATTTCTATACTTTATTTTTATTTTACTGTTTATAATTTTACTTCCTCTCTTCTTCTTCTTCTTCTTTTCCCTTTTTTCCCTTCTCCAAATCACATTCTCTCTCCTCCTCCTTCTTCTTCTTCCTCTCTCCTCCCTCCCAATTTCTCTCTTTCGGTCCTTTTGCTCTTCCTCCCTCCCTCTGCCTCCTCTCTCCTCACTTCCATCTCCTTCCCTCTCTCTTTCTCCCATCCTCTTTCTCTCCTCTCTCCTTCTACCCCCCCTCCTCTCCCTCTTCTTCTTCTTCTTCTTCTTCTTCGTCAGTGTGAAGCGGGGGAGCTGTGTGCGGTGCGTAAAGGCGCTCGTATCGGTAAACTATGTGGTTGTCCTGTTGGAACTCACTGTAACTTCAGCGTCCTCAAGTGTCTGTAGCTCATGTTCCACCGCAGGAATAAAAGGTCATTTTTAAAAACTCTGGTGTTTCACTCATTGAGTCATTTATTCATTTATCAGGACAGTATATATAATATGACCACTTCCTCGTGTTTTGTTGTTGTCTGATCGACCATTAGGATTGCACATGTCAGTGGAAGTGCAAACAGAACTAATATTAAAACTGTTACCAGGGTTATCTGTCAGGCTTTTATTATATTTAAAGAGATGTGGTATGCAGGCATCTTTAACGGGAGAACTGGGATGTCTGTATGTCATTATGTTCATTGCTAAATGTGACTATTCGGATTGCAATTTAGATGAGTTTAGATGAATATTGTGATTTAAAATGTCTAAATTATAACATGATGACGCACAGATGTCATAGATTCTTACTATAAAGCACACAAACATAATATATGTCCAACCTCACACACAAGGATAATGATAAAATACTAACACTGACAGTGTTGGGAAGGTGACTTTTAAAATGTAATCCCCTACAGATTACAGATTACACACACCAAAATGTAGTTTGTAACAGAATCCATTAAATTACTTAAAGTGAGTAACGGAATCTGAATACTTTGGATTACTTGATTTGCTGTAGAGAGACTAGGATATCGTAACATAAGATGTTTTGTCTGATAAAAGAAAAGAAAATATAAATAAAATAAAAAGCCCAGACTTTACTGAACCAAATAAAAAATATTATTGATAGAAGAAGTTTAGTCTTGTTAAATCCTGTTTGAGACATGGTTTAGACCAAGTTTGGACCTAGTTTAGACCTGGTTTAGACCTGGTTTTAGACCTGGTTTAGACCTGGTTTAGACCTGGTTTTAGACCTGGTTTTAGACCTGGTTTAGACCTGGTTTTAGAGGTTTAGACCTGGTTTTAGACCTGGTTTTTAGACCTGGTTTTAGACCTGGTTTTTTTAGACCTGGTTTTAGACCTGGTTTAGACCTGGTTTTAGACCTGGTTTAGACAGACCTGGTTTAGACCTGGTTTAGACCTGGTTTAGAACCTGGTTTAGACCTGGTTTAGACCTGGTTTTAGACCTGGTTTAGACCTGGTTTAGACCTGGTTTAGACCTGGTTTAGACCTGGTTTTTGGTTTAGACCTGGTTTTAGACCTGGTTTAGACCTGGTTTTAGACCTGGTTTAGTGACCCAGAAATGAGTGGAATTACAGAAAAAAATTGTGTAAAATGTGTAATCCATTTATTTTGACAAAGTAACTGTAATCCAATCACCACTCACTGAAACAGTAACTGTAACTGAATACAGTTACTCATCATTTGTACTCTGATTACGTAACTCCGGTACATGTAATCTGTTACTCCCCAACACTGTGCACTGAGACAAAAATATATTCAAGAATCTAAATGTTTCAGCTCATTTAGTCTCAGTTTAGTCCTGGTTTACACTTTTGGTTTGACTAATTACACGATGATTCCTCGTCTGAATGTGACGTCCCTGGAGACTCTGTAAGTGCCTGAGCAAATTTCACGGCCTGATCTTTTCCTGATAACGTTCAAACAATCGTGGAGAGGCGTTCCCATCGTAACAGAATAATAATGTGAGAATGAATTGATTAAAATGAGAAGGAGGAAGAGAAGAGAAGAAGAGACGGGGAGAGAGAAAGAGGAGAAGCTTCAAATATATGAATTTATGAATCAAATGGATCTTATGTGTCTAAATTTATATAAATCTGTGTTCACTTAAAGGATTTGAATGAGTTATAACTATTTAAAGACGACCTGTTGTGTTTGTGTGTGCTCTGTGGTTATAATCTATGACCCACGTGGATCATTATGTTGTTATTTGCACATTTTAAATCACAATATTCATCTAAAATGGCTTAATAAATGAAACAAGTTCGCTGCTCCGTAAACTTCATCACAACGAAACACCTGTGAGCTCCTCTGGAGGACACTTTACATCACACTGTGAGTAACACGTCTGTTTTCAATTGTACCAAAATAGTCACATGACGCTGCCAAATCCTACGTGTATCACCCATTAAGAAAATTAAACTACTCTGTAAAATCTAATAAATCGACATTACTTGAAAAAATCTAGGATCTCTATATCCTCCCTCTGTTTGTTCAGTCTGTGCTGGATTACACCTGGGCCCGGTCAAGCAGAAGTAAACAACAAGGCCAAAAATTCAAGTTAATTCATCTGATATAAAAATGTATTGAACAGATACATATGTACTCTAGTTTATGAAACTGTTGACCTTTTTTCTGTACCATTTTTGGTTCTAAAGTTCCATACGTTTTAAACAGACCATGTATGAAACATGGAACAAAAATTATTTCCCAAATTTCAAAGACCCAAAAATCGTGTAAATAAATTGATGTATTTCATCATATCTTGTGTTATTCCATCTTTGAACTGTTGATGAAGTTACATGATTTCTCAAAAAAAAAGTATTTAAAATGATAAAAATTTGCTTGGAAGGACTGACATATTTTATAGAAATAGTTTCCTTTCATTTTGAAGTAATATTAAAATATTCAGAAGAAAAAAGCGACAAATTATGTAAAATCCTGCACCTTCTACTTGTTTGCACAATTTTCCCTCCGTTACTTTTCCCTCCGTTACCATGACTTTTCTTAATAAAAATCTCATGAGTCAAAAAGTAAGAGGTTTTTCAACCTAATCTTGTACCATATGGTAGAAAACTATATGAAGCAAATATTCAAACCAGTTTGTTAAGGATATGTAAGTGAGAACCAAGAGTTATCACTGTTTGGATTTATTGCCCAAAAAGTGCTGCATATTTCATTCCCTCCGTTACAGACATGAGTTTTTAAATTTTTTGTCAACAACTTGAAAGAATATCACAGGTTTAACTTGACCCTGTTGGAGTGTAACTCTTTCCTACATTCTGATACTTTACTTATTTCAATAGTCCCTCTAGTTTCTGAATAAGAGACATTTCAATGTCAAAAATCTACCTGTTTCCCTCCGTTACCACTTGACTGGACCCATCTGTACTCCTGTTTTGTTTTATTTTTTGAGACCTAAGTCTGGGGGGCCTTGGTTGAGTTGACGTGGAATGACCGAGCTTTATTATTTTATTGTTACACATGTTACGATGTGTTTTGAACTTAAACTGAACCAAGTCAGAGGTGTCAAACTCAAACTTAATATTTACTGAAACATTTCAACAGCATCTGCATGTTTTCTCTTCTTTCCAGATATGTAATGTTAAACCTTTTCTTATTAAAATAAATGTTTAATAATATAACACTGAATCCAGAACAAGCAGAATATAAATAATATCATTTTAAATAAATAATGTCTCTACTCTATCTGTAGCCAGCAGCTCTAATACATATGATACATATGATATGATTTCGTGGGCCAAATATTATTATATAGCAAACCAATTTGGCCCCCGGGCCTTAGTTTGACATGTCTGAACTAAAGTTTTGCTACATTTTTTCAAAGACTAATATATATTATAATAATATAATATATAATATTCAAATCCTTGTACATCCTTGTACATGATGCAGATCTGTTTTTACTCTAACTTGTGTATTTAAGTCACATTTACTTGCTCTTACTACATATTTCAGATTTGAGGGCCTGACTGACTGAACTAAAGTTCACTTCACTTGCTGAGCCTTGTTAGATGAAATTTAGAATAATTTACTGAACACTACACTGAGGAATTACTTGTAAGCTTTAAATTCACACTCCACTTTAGTCAGATTTTTCAAGGTAATCAGTTTCCTAGATTTTTTTCAAGTGACATCGATTTATTAAATTTTACAGTGAACATTGTGCCACTTGTTGAATGTTTTAAAATCGTTTCGACTGTGAGAACCTTCATTTATTCCACACAAACCCACAGATCTTTATCTTTCAATTAGAGCCAGGTTTCTTTACAAATGACTGACGCTGGACTGAAAAGAAAAGAAAAGAGCCCCATATGTGAGCGGGGCCCCTGGAGACACACACTCATCTGTCCATCATTCAACTGTGACCTCCTCTGACCAGGACACGCCCACTATCAGAAATATGATCATCAGATTTTATTTTTCCTGATATTTTATGTTATTTATCCAACATCCACACTACAACATCTGCAAATAAATTAAATATTGACTGTCGACCTCCCCCACCTCGTTTAATCTGACACACAGAGGGAAACAGGAGGACGGGAGGGCATTTTGCTTCCAAAAGATGAATTAGGAAGAAATATGGAAGAAAAAGGAGATGTTTTAGAGCAGACATGTCAAACTCAGGCCCAGGGACCAAATTTGGCCCATGATATAATCATATTTGGCCCTCGAGATCATAACAAATCTGTATTAGAGCTGCCTGCCTACTACAGATAGACTACAGAGACATTATTTATTTAAAATGTTATTATTTTATATTCTGCTTGTTCTGGATTCAATGTTTAAGTAAAACTATTATTAAACATGTATTTTAATATGAAAAGGTTTAACATTAAATATCTCTAAAGAAGAAAAAACATGCAGATGTTATTGAAATTTTTCAATAAATATTGAGTTTGTTCCCACAATGTAGTCCCAGTTTTTAATTTTGGCCTCTGTGAATTTAAGTTTGACACCCCTGATTTAAAGATGCTTAAGCTGCATGAAGTTTCCTGGAAATTGACTCATTTTGCATTTTGAAGTAAATTTTTATGAACTTTCTGAGTAATTTTTATGCAAGTTTCAGTTTGTGTTTCCAGAATAAAATGACAAATTATCAGAATACGCCTTATTTATTTGGTTCTTTGTTATAGTGTAGGTCCTATAGGGCCATTTTCAAGTGTCTTGAGCTCCTCTAAATATTAATTAATTTGCATAACATTTTGACTCAAATATTTTGGTCAGATATGGAACCAAATGCAGGGGTTCTAAACTAGAGAGTCTGAAAAAAAAAAAAGGAATGGGAGGGCATCTGACACACAGGTACACTTTCCCATCTACATTTAGTCCAAAACTCCACGGCACGACTTTTAACAGGAACC